GCATTCAAAACTCTTTCAGTTAGTTTAACCAAATTAGATGTAAGAGAAATTGGCCTCACATTGTCAAGTGTATACCCAAGCCCCTGTTTTTTAAGTATCGGAATTATTTTGGAAAGTTTCCAATCCGCCGGTATCCAAGAAGTTTTCAAAGAGTAATTAACCATATTACAGAGTTCATGTGGGGAAATGTCATATAGTACTTTTATCATTGCTGAAGTTACTCCATCTGGTCCAGGTGCTGTAGGAGGTAAGTGCCTCACTACACCCGCTAGTTCCGCTAATGTCACCTCGTTGAACTCCTCCCCTGCAATTGGCTTTACTATGTGTCTTGGCATTGTTGATCTGAATCTTTCTTCTAATCCTTTAACAACATTTTCTAAGATTTCAGTGAGTTCGCTAGGCGATAGAATTGAAGAATCAGTATTGTCTGATGGTGGTATCATTTTTCTGGAACGCAAAAATCTAAAAAGCGCCTTTCTGTTGTATGGTTTTGAAAGATAGCTAAATTTGTTAGTGTCATAGTCATCTTTTGCTTTGCGTACTGTGCGTTTAAAATCTGCTGCCACGTATTTATAGTCACACCAGTTTTTGGGGCATTGGTTGTGGATAAGTTGCTTCCACGCCGCTTTTCGTTTTCTATACCCCCTTGTACAATCAGCGTTCCACCATGGGCTAAACGACCCGCCTGTGCCTGAAGTTATTGAAAAAGTTGACTTTTTTATTGCTCTTTTCAGTACCGCACACAGACTCATAGCCCGAATGTCTTCCTGCATGTCCTTGCGAAGAACCAAAGTGGGCTTCAAGTCTTTTTGTAAGCGCTCATAATTTACAAACGAGCCAATTTTACCAGTTAAAAATATTCCGGGAAAGTTAATATCAAAGCTAATAGGAAGGTGGTCACTGTTTGTTGCGCAATCTAATGTTTTCCACGACGAAATGTTTAGTGAGGAGCTGCAAAAGGTCAGATCTATCGCCGACTTTGATTGTCTCCTAATAAACGTAACAGTGGGGAAATTTGCACAAGATAAGTTATTATCAACAGTCCATTCCCACAAGCGTCTTCCATTTACATCAGTCTTGAAACCCCAAGACACGTGGTGTGAATTAAAGTCACCAGTTAATATTACATCCTTCCTGCAGGAAGCTAACATTGCATCTAAGCATCTTGTGTCCTGTACTCCTACCGGAAAGTATGCGTTAACAAAAGAAAAAGGGGAACAGCCTGGCAGAGTGATGTCTAATACCATAATTTCATAGTTAGAATCCATGCACAGGTAGTTAATCTTCGCTCTATGACTAAATTTAGTTGATATAAAAATGGCAAGTCCACCACCTCTGCTAGGTCTGTCTAAACGAAATAAGCGATAATTTTTTAGGTAAAATTTTTGTCCGTTTGTAAGCCAAGTTTCTTGTAAAGTAATAATATCTGGGGAAATTTGCGAAGAAATACACAATAAATCTGTGGTAGCCGACCCTATTGATCGACAATTCCACTGTAATACTTTTAAGGAGCCTATTTTGATTCTATAAACCCGCCGCAGAGACTGCTTGATCCAAAAGATCTTTCTTCAAAAAGTCTTTTTTGGAGAGGTTCTCCAAAACGTCTTTCTTTGACAGGAACTTTTTAGATTTTGATTTCTGTGAAGACTTTTTCGATAGGGGAGATCTGGCGCGCTTCAAGAAATTATGAGATTCCGCATCCATATCTGTGAATTCATCAGTGTCATCTGATACGGTTTCTAGATCTGTCCGCAGTATCTTATTGGAGGGTCCTGCTTTAGGAGATGAGCATCGTGTAGGAGCTATCGGACTTTCTGTCCCGGCACAATTTGAAACCTCCAAATCCTGTGAAGTCTGATTTTTCATAGACACTGAAGCAATGATTTGGGTCAACTGAGATGTTAACAATTCAGCCACGACTCCAATAATACTGCTGGCAAGACGCTCCATCGCCTTTTCCGTTGCCTTCTCTACAGCCTCTGCTATATATTTTGCTAACGATGCATCCATAGCAGTGGTGTGTCGTGCTGTTACGCTTGCGTAACCTTTCGAGCGTTCTTGTAATTCAGTCACAGCTTCCCTCCGGGAGCAACGCCTGCGTTCCACAATTTCCAACAGCTTAACTTCTCGTTCTTTCGCCTCACAATCTGAAGAGTCTGCAGGATGCGCCTCATGACATAAACAGCACTTCTCTTCCGTCGAGTTGCACTTACGGCTGTCGTGATTTTCTCCGCATAGTCGACATCTGGCAGTTGATCTGCACCCTTTCACGCTGTGGCCATATCTCCAACAATTCAAGCACTGCAGTGGCTTAGGGGATAGAGGCTCTACCTTATAGATAAGAGGCCAAGCTTTAATTTCAGATGGTCTTATCGTTCCCGCAAAGGTTACTATGACCGATTCGGTAGGTGATTTTTTATTGTCAACCAGACGCGTGCACCTGTATACTGACACTGCACCTGCTACTGAAAATAACTCAAGAATTTCTGCCGGGGTCAGGCTCGTATCTACACCGCGGACTATGCCTTTCGAACATGCCAGATGCGCTGGAATAAACGGGCTCACCGGCTGTGCTGCAAATTCGGAACAGTTGAGAAGCTCTCGGACGCACTCCTGATCGGCAGAGCAGCACAAAATACCACCACGACCGAAATGCCGGACCTCAGTGATCTTTTGAAAGTGTGTTGTGGCTTTCCGAAGCTCCATTTGAATCATCTTCGGGTTCTTCATAGGTATCGTACCTCCATTGGTCGGTACCAAAGCCACGGGGACGTTAATAACCCCACTGCAAAGAAAAGAATCAATTGGCCAATCCTTGACCGGTATAGATGCTAGCCAAGGAGAAGGCCCTTGGCCAGGCGAAGAAACCGACATCTAGATAGCCTGAGTCGCTTGAACTCAGAAAATCATATGGCGCAAACCACAAACAACTGCCGAAAAATCACTAAAACAACAAAGAAGCAAACGTTAAACTCAAGTGCAATCCCGCCACCCGTCGTTCAAGCCGTTCCAACCCGTGAGCAGCAGCGCAGAACAGGATCAACGCGAACAGGAACAGGAAACAGGAACAGGAGCTCAGGCAGCGAAGGTTCCAAGCTGAATGAACGAGCTTGAACAACGCGAGGACACGTAGCGGTTAAACAAAGGTTAAAACAGTTGTTGTTGTTGTTGTTGTTGCCCCTTCGCACTGGCACATACCCACTATGGGGGATTGGCCATGAAATCTAGAAGTATCCTATATGAGATATATTAAAAGGTTTATCCTTAATGAAAAAACTAATGATGTAATAGAAAATAATAATTAACTAAAAAGGAATATTAAACTAAACAAATAATTGAAGATTGAATCAAGAAGAGAAAAGGTGAGGTAATACTACAGTGGAAGACAGAAATTTTGAGTAGACCAGACAATCGAGCTTATCTCACCCGGTCACAATCAAATGAATATGCAAATTTCATTCAAAATTAGACAAGTGTCTTCAGAAATATATTTAAGCAGGCATTATTATGACATGCGCTTTGATTCTCGAATGAAATTGCATACAGCATCCTGTGGCAATGTCCCAAGCTAAAGGCACCGAAACTTAGAACATTATCTGCAGTTAATTTAAACCTACTGCTTGAAACGGAACAATTAAAAGTCTTTTCCTAATTAATGAATAGTTTTTACATGTTATAAAGTAATGCTCTATTGTTTCCGTTTCTTCACAGAATGGACACAGGGGGGATATCGCCAGACCAGCTCTGTGCAAGTAAAAGTTTAATGGAGGGACATGGAGTTTAATGGAGTTTAATGGAGTAAAAGTTTAATGGAGGTTAAAACAGTCTCTATCCACTTCGTAGTCTTTTCTTTCAGGCAGGGACCCTCTACCGCTTTATGCCCCAATCCCACTACTGCCTTGTGGCAATATCAAAGGTGCGCATGCGTGTAATACATGCGTTTAGCTGTACGGAAGGTAACTTGAAGCTTTAAATGCTCGCTTACACGACTTTGTTCCTGGGTTTTAAGTATATGGACAAAGGACTTGTCGTCTGTGGCTGCACGTATCAAACATTGGAACGAGTAGGACGTCTGAATGTCCTTTCAATTTCAAGTTCTCTGGTATTGTCTTACAAGGCAAGAATGAGGGCGTGCATGCATATTTTTCTTGGCGAGTGAATATCAAATTTTGTCCATGTTTATCGAGGAATTCACATACGTAGATAACGATTCCATGCCGTGATTATCCGTGTTACAAGTTTTCGAAAGATATGGTTGCTGCGTTCTGCCTGGGAAGGTGCTGTTAGAATAAATAGTTGGAGGGCTACGTACGGTGACCACCTCTGTTTTATTCACTTCGAAGAATGCTACTTCGACATAACGGGGCAGACAACCAGACTGTAGTCTGGCAGTGCACCTTTGATTTTTCCTGTTTTCTAAACGCATCTGCAAAAACCTGTTAGTTTCTACCTCCTTGACGTAGCTTCAATAGAATGTAGTCACAAAAATAAGCAATTGCGTCTAAAACAAGATGAAACACATTCGAAATTCGTTTTATCGTGCCGACGAAACCGAAACCAAAACACCGGTAGACGAAGTTGCCAAAGTGAGTGAGTGGTGTTATATCAAACATCAAGCTACCTAGTTTCTAGGCTCCTGAAGGCTGCTGCGCTTGCTATGTGTGATGCGATGGTGATGCGACTGGTGCGCGTTATTTTGAATGCTTGAAAAGTGCGCGCAATCAAAAGATGACCGAGTGCACGTGCCGCATCACCTGAACAACAACGACGACGTCGAGGACCGGTGCGCGGTAGAGCGCGGTAGAGCGCGGAGCGCATGTATCAAAGTCATAAAAGAAACAAGGGCCAATGGCTGGTCACCACGAAGTTTTTAAGGGCCAATTAGGACGAGACAAGTGTGTCCCAGAGCAAGCCAATCCCGAAGGGCAAGAGAGTTAGCAGTTCGAGGCGAACCAGGCTAGAGAAAGGCTGCAGCTGGGAGCTTAAGCATCGGCACACGCCGTCGCCACCGTTCCAGCAGCAACGTTCTGGTGAGATCGAACTTGCTGTTTTCCCTGCTCCGCCGAATCACCGCGTCAGAACTGTAACATGTAGCTGTGACTTTCAGCCGACATTTTCGGGACTTTAGACGTTTGTTTTCCTTGTGAAGCAAGCTTTTAGCCAGATACTCATTTTTGCAGTTTTGTTAAGTTTTTACTTTAGTTCTGCAGTAAATGTTTAGGTTTCGTTTGTGGAACGAACGGCTTTGTCCTTATCTAGTAGAAATCTCCGAGGCTAAGGACAGGAGAAACAAATTTGCAACAAGAACCTGCGTCACACCTATGACAACACACGTCGCCAACGGAAATTGATAAGTATTATGCATAACTAACACCACTGCAATCGTTCTTATGACCGGTTAATTGGGGTACGTCTCCTGGAGTTGGTCGGTTGCACGCGACAACGGTGCTGAGGTTTTGGATGTGCCTGTTAATTGGTTAAAATTTCGATAACACTAGAAAAATTACTGCTGACTCCCAGTTTACTTAATTACCGCTCATTCCTAACTTTAGATTTATTTCAACATCCTAATATCTAGTGCACTGTATCTGGTGCACTGTAGTGATACTATACTCGATAATTTTGTTGGGGAGCGCGAGAAAACCAGAAAAAACAAACTGCGCTTGTTATCTCTGAGGCTTCAAAGACAATATGCCCTTTGAGGCTTTGAGATGACAAGGAATGCAAGGCACATAAAATTTTATCTAATGGTATTGTATAAAAGTTTATACAATAATATTGTATAAGAGTATGGTAAGAAGCTTTATGGCACGGCGTGTTTGCGCTTACCATCTCGAAGGCCATAAAAAACCCGCGTCTTGGCGGGAAAAAAACTAGCGTCATCTCCCGAGTGAAAACACTTCGTGTGCGTGCGTGTGTGTTTTTGTTCGCATTTCCGCCGCGCGGGGCATTTCAAAGCGCCGTCGGCACGGGCCGTCGGCGTCACATAGGCATAGCACAGAACACCTACCTGGGCATAGTTCATGGCGGAAGGAAAAATGCTTCCTACATGACATAGGTGCTTTCTGGCGCAAAACTGGTAGGTGTTCTGTGCCTTACGTTAGCCGCGTTGTTGCCTCGATGGCGTTGGCGCCATGTGCTGCAACGTCATGCGGCGCGGTTCTGCGAAACTCGATGCACCGGCGGACGAGCTTTTGAACGTTGACAGCAACTTCAACGTAGAATATATTTCTGGCCCTTCACGTTGCGGCCGCGCGGAGTGACAGCGCGGCAATATGGTCTGGGATGGCAACAGGTATTCTCTAGTTTCTTTTCACGGCTGCCCTACTTTCGGTGCTCTGCTCGTTCTTGCATCCGCTGGACGTCGTACGGGCGGGGGTGTTTCTTTTTTTTTTTTTTTTCCCGCTCAAAGTGACCGGTGGGGTGCAGAGCGTGGCATGGCACCACGCATGACGCTCCGTCCTTGGGAGTATGCAGCGCTTCGGCTGTGACGGGTGTATCTACGCTGTGGAAACTTACAAGATGCCGCGGTGGTTCGCTGTGAAGCATGAAATATGGCAGAACAGCGCCAAGTTGGGCTAGTCGGTTGACGTTTATTGCGTAATGGTGTAACTGTGCTAATGCAGGTAGCAGAGAAAATGAAAAGCAGCACGTATGCATACTCGGTAACTCAACAAGTTGTGTGTCTGTGCACGAGCGGTCTATCAGTGTGTGATGCCATAACGCGGTTATTTTAGAACGAAATGACACGAGTCGATTCTGTTACCGTAGCCCTATTAGGGGTAATATCTGCAAGCTAGCCTGCTTGAAACGAGTTAAATCTTCAGTAGGTGTAAAGACCTGAATGTACAAAACTGGTGCGAGACATTGCATGTGTTGCCTCACGAAACAGTGCAGGCTTCAAACGAAAAAATGGGTTCGTATTTAATGCCTAGAAGCATGAAAATACCCCCTCCCACTATATTTTTGTATTACTATACAAACGCACGCACGAACATAAAAAAGTACTGAGCCCTTCCTCCTCGGAAAAAAAAAAAAATCTGGCTTTGCCATTGCATTGCATCGCTACTTTTTGCTGGAAACTGTGCAAAACCGGGAATATGTTAAAAGCATGCCTTGCATCTCCAGCATGATAGTGCAAGGTTGTGTGTCACAGGCAGAATTTTCAGGTGGTCTAACCCGGCCCTGATCACGCCAATGGTCTGGCGCCAACAGTGTTATGACAAAACTTGTGGTCTGAGATTTGTTTCACCCATAGGCGTTAGGAGAGTGATACAAGTGGGGGGGGGGGGGGGGGTCGCAATAAGCTACGCAGCTTTGATTGGCACACTCGGGTCGCAGCTTTCAGGATTGCAGCCAATTTCGCATGTAACACACTATTCACTACTATTCGCTGGGGGATCCAGAGGGCGGGCGGTAGGGGCTATAGCCCTTCTCCGAAGCCTCTTGGCACCCCCTCCCCCTCTCTTTAGTGCTTGCCGTTCACCTGCTGTCACTAATCAGGACAAATGAGCGGGACAACTTTGACCACACATTAACGGTATTTATGCTATGACTGAGATTTTGTGCTCGTAAAAAGTTAACTACCATGCCCCCTATCCGGTGTTACTTCAACCTGCCCCCTGAAATGAGTGGCTGAATCCATCCCTTCTACTATTGTCGGTCATGCCACTGCATTGAAAGAAAAGATACCAGTACTGACTGCCCCCCTCCTCTCTTGCATCTGCAAGAGGGAGGGGGGGGGGGAATTCTGCAGATATACCCTTGGAACTGTCATCCCAGTGACTACCAGATGTATGGCCGTTCAAATCCATTTAGTAGCTGTTAATTAAAAAAAGTTAGTAAATTTTGCCAGCCCTTTGGGTTTTGTAAAAACGGATTCACCAGTATGCAAAATACTTATTTTTAGAACAATTTAGCCCAAATAGTTTAGCTGGCATCTATTCATTACAGCACCTTTATATTTTATAACAGCTGTTCCAAAAGTCTGTCGTGGTGGAACGGTGCTTATGGTGTTTGGTTGGTTACTCGTAGGTCGTATACTTCAATCTCAACTGTTGTGGTCATGTTTCGATGGAGGTGAAAGGTCAGTCCATGTTAACGAATACTAGAGGGTCGAAGTTTTTGGAGTTCCCCACTACAGCTTCTCTCATAATCGTATCATGGTTTTGGGATGCAAAATCTCTGATATTATTGTGACCTGTTCCTAAAGTAACATTGATACATGAGACCCCACTAGGGGGTGTTACATAAGGGGTGGGTTTCGATATAGACAACAGTTTGAACACACTATCACATGGTATATTGTGATGTGATCGCTTCAATGAAAGCAGTAGGGCTTGAGTTGGCAATGTCTTGTGCAAGGTCGTTCCAGTCCTTCGCTGCTCGAGGAAAAAATGAAGAGGCGAAGGTGACTATGCGAGCATAAGGACAGGCAACATTTAAGGGGTGACCAATGTGATAGGATGTGTGTGATGGTGATGAAATATACGGTGCTTGATGTAGCGCGCTGTCATAGAAATTATGAAATAAAGATAAACTAGTAATGAAGCGTCGATGATGAAATGTTAGTAAGCCAGATTCCGCTTTCAAAGATGTTACGCTGAAATATTATGAAGAGGCGAAATGAATGAAACTAATGGCACTATTCTGAAAGGCCTTAAGGGCGTTTGTGAGGAATATCTGGCAAGGATTCCAAGTGGCTGATGCATTTGGGCTGTATTACTGTTTTTAAGCTATTGATTTGACATGCTGAAGAGTGCTTTAGAGTGCTGCAGAGATTTAGTCGGGAGAGATTTAGTAGTAAGCGTTAATGAGCAACTTTGTGGAATGATTTCGCAAAATTAAGAGAAATATCATCAGTTTGATTGTTGGCGTCTAGATTTAGGTGGAGGTCATAGAGAAAGGCAATCATTGCGTTTTGTAAGGCAGTCCCTTGTTGAGCCCATGCTGAGAATGGCGAAAAAAATGTTTATAATCAAGGAAGAATTATAAGAGCGTATGTGACATGCTCCGTGATCGTACAAGGCACTTATGTGATGGAAATGGGGCGGTAGTTTAGGGGTGAACTCTTGTTGCCCGATTTGTAGACTGGGAACGACCTTGGCCTTTTTCCACTCTTTTGGTAGGTTTCCAGGTGACAGTGACATGGTAAACAACAGCGTTAGATATGCCGCAGAAATGAATTTGGTGTTCTTCAGAAACTTAAAGTGATTTCGTCGAAACCAGTAAATGATGACAGCTTAGAGACCAGCTTTCATGAATGTCGCTCTCTTGAAATGTTGCTTCGTATTCCTCGTGACTTTTCACGCTTTCTCACTAAATCATGCCTTTGCTGTGTTGTTTGTACGTGGTTAGCTTGCGTTCTGCCTGCTATGCACTGCTGTAGTGTGACTGAAACTGCGATTCATTCAGTATCACTGTTCGCACCTTATACGCATATTTTTTTTCTCTCATTCTGTTCACCATGAATTGTGTGACAGTCGATAAGTCTAGTAAGGAAAGCTTAGTGGCCGACGATGCTTCACGCTATACTGCGTTTACCACGCGTACGCACATGTTCTTGCACCAGTAAAAATCTTAAATAAGAGCTCAGCAGAAAGGTTTCATCGACGGATTACGTGCATGGCGGTGCTACGACAAAGGCCTGGATAATGGGACAAGCATGTTTTTTTTCTGACAAAAAGTTACGGCTGCCTTTCGTCGGTCACTAACAATGCTACACAAATGCTGTCAATAATGTACAAAAGATGAAATATCAGTGAAATGACACATTATATATAAAGCATGCCGTCTGAATTAATTTTTAACGTCTGGGCTCTTCAAAGCATTTTTAAATCTATGCGCACAGTTGTGCACGCTAACTCTGTCGTAATTAGAATGTAAGTAACGAAGTCTCACAGATTATGTGGGAGTAATATCTACATAGAAATATAGTAATATTTCTATGTAGTGGTACCACGGCCAAATAAACACAACTAAGGCTCCTCGCATGATTCATAAACTACAGTGCCATGCCATAGTTGTACACCTACCAACGAATGGCGCTCAAGTGCATGACCTAGAGCTTTTTTTTTACAACCGAGTCGCCATAAAACGCTGCATTCACAAAGCATTTAATAATGTGTGGGAGGATTTAAAGAGCATTTTGCGATGTGCTTGTAACAGAAAGCGGCATTCACTCTGAAGTTTTTCTGGTGAATGGAGAGTACGACGACAATAAACAACACTTTAGAAAGTTGCACTTGTCGATCTTATTACAATGCATCAGCAGCTGAGCAAGATCAAATGCTTTCGTACGTCCTTTCAGGCATATGTAGAAACAGTTACACTCGCGCTGACATGACCGAACAAACCACACTTTGAGAACGTGCATGATGTACGCACACACAGAAACACGACATGGCTAGCAGACGATGCAAGGAGCAATCCACACTTCACCATTTCGCCCAGTTGCCACCAGGCGGTGACTCTGCTCGATCTCGCGGCCAATATCAAGTGCGCGGCGCGTTTCTACACCGTGCGTGGGCCATTTTGGAGGCCACGCTCTTTGTTTTTGTGCAACTGTGCTTTCGTGGCGCTTTCAGCAAAGAGGTTTCTCCAGCATTCGACAGATGGCGCTTTGCTGTAAAAGGCGCAATTATCAAATTTCGACTTGCATCGTCAACGCTCGCAACTGTTTGGCATGGTTGCAAATCTGTTTGGCTTCTATTGTGCAGTTATTTTGTCATATAATGGTTTGATTTAACATTGTTTCAATAATTAACCGCACTGGCTATCATACCAAAATAAAATGACCATATAGATCAAAGTTTTTTTTCTTTTTTTCAAGGACCAAGGTGGGGGGTGGGTTCTATGCGAGTAAATACGGTATGAAAGTTGCATCTGCTGTGGCCAGGTGGGGTAGTTATTAGAGGTCGCCCCTGGCGCAAAGTGGGGAAAATGCAGCTTGAGCAAGGCAGTGTTGACATAACATTCTTGTCTACATACTTTCATAGTAATGAAGAAATATTTTGACTAGCATAACAAACAAATGTCAGAACTACTGGTAAACATACTTTAAAAATGCAAAAAGAGATAAGTAACTGTGCTGAAAAAATTATGTTGAATCATATACACCCAATAGTCGTAATACACTCATCTGACACAAAAACATTATATTTAAAAGTTCATTATAAATGAATATTTGTAACACTATCTATGGCAAAGCTGTTAATCATTTTGTTATAATCGATAATTCGTTCTATTCGAATTCATTATATCGAGGTTTGAGCATGTTTAAGCCTGCTGGCTTTTAACATTTTTAATTACTACAAAAATTTATTGCACCAGTGTTTAAAAGAACTAATTACATTATGTAGTGAAATAAATGCGTTGTAGTAGGAACTGATAGTTACGTTTAGAGAAGTTAAAACGTAAGAAAAATCGTGAAACATTTTTTTACCGTTGTTGCCATAATCAATACCCTGTTTCTGATATTTTTTTGGGAGATACGGTAAATGCCGGTAGCATCTGATGACGTTGCAATGTGCTGTCATAGACCTGTCACTCTTGGCGTGCCTGTTCAGGGGAGGCTGTGTACGCAACGTGATTTTCTGCGCAAACTTCCCAGGCACGCTGCGAGGAAATGGAGAGGACTTTGCCATTTCCCTGTGCCTATGCATTCAAGGCGGCCCTGCACATCACATTTGACGTTCTCGATCGGATGGCACTTATGTCGAGGATCACATTTGAGAAGCTTATGCGGGACATCAAGAAACGATCGAAGGAGGAGCCGTTGGTCGTCGAGCGGGCGCTGAGCCACATTGTGTCCAGCATTGACGCGGGCAATGTCGTGATGTTTGGGCCCGCATTCTACGTGGCCTGCAGCCTGTTTAAGGACGAGAAGCCGCCGCAGCTGGCCCGTGGCACGTGCCTCGTGCGGAGCGTGTTTGTCACGCCTGGCCGACTCATTTTTCGTCCTCCGCAGGTATGCCAAGAGAGTTTTTAAAATCAAAAGTAGGGACTGTTGTGGTACTGTATTTTCTCACATATGACACGTCCCTACTTGTTATGCACACCCCTGACAACCATACACAAAAAAAAAATTACTATAGGGAAAATAGTTTAGTGTATTACAGTGACGTAGATTTTCTTGCATTACCATGAAGTAGCAGCATGAAACAAACTCGCCACCTTACTTTGGCTTTGACATTTCTGTATATTTTGTGCGGATTTTATGCGACGAAATGTGGTATTTTTTTCTGAATCAGTTCGCTGAAAGAGTTTAAACAGTACAACACTTAAATGTCAATATAACGAAACCAGATATAATGAAAAGCCAGTTATAACGAAGTAAAAGAAGAAAAGTTGGAATAGGTATAGTGCTAAGAATAGACCTTTATAACAGATTTTTTGATATAGCAAACCTATTTTCATGTGAGATGCAACTTTGTTATAATAAGGTTTGGATGTATTAACATCTCGTGTACTTTCTTGGTGTTGGCTTCGATTTCTGCCAGTATTCACTTACATTGTGTTAAACAAAGACATGAGCTTTCAAAATCCTCTCCAATCATTTGTAGCGAGAATCTTGTTCCGCCAAACTTCAGGTGTTGTAGTCGAGGGCTGAACCCTCTTTGTAAGTCTCCAGGTTTCTGCTCCTTAGCTAAGTACTGGCAAGAAACAGCTGTTATATACCTTTCTCTTAAGGGATAGTGGCAATCTACCTGTCATAATTTGAGAGTGCTTGCCAAATGTGCTCCACCCCATTCATATTCTCTCGATCATGTCCGCATGACGTGAGCTGTCTATGCTGCGAGTGGTACTAACACTCCTTTCATGCACATAAAATACCCCACAAATTGCATGAAGGGACCACTACCATTGTAGCTCATTTGGCAAGAGCATCGAGCGCATAATTCGTACGTTGCAGATTTGATTCCCGCCAGCGCAAGTCGTCTTTTCATTCTCTTCACATCTGTATCACAATGACAACATTACACTAGAGCTATGTGAACACCAAATTTTGGGTGCGAAGCAAATTCGAATGTTGAAGTGTGAGTGCAAATGGAATGGACTGTTTTAAAAATATTTCTTGTATATTTCTAAAATCTCTTTTAGATAGTTTAATGTGAAATTGCAGGGGAAAATCGGAAAGGTTTCCTAATTTGAATATTTCTCGAATCTTTTTCGAGTAGTTTGAATCGGATTTTCGAGGAAAGAAAATTAAAAAGGATGCCTAAGTACTTGCTTATGGTATATAGCAACATGAAAGTGTTTCTTTTCGCTAGGTTGATGAAGCGCTGGTGGGCTGGTATGCATAGTTTTCTTATCAAAAATGAGGCAATGCAGAGGCTGAATTGTATTTGTGTGGATGATTCTGTGCAACCAAAGTGTCACCAAGAACACTTTAGAACTGAAAGGCAGAGATGCTACTTCCTCATCCTCTCCTCCTCTTTCAACTTCAGTAAAAACTCAGCTGATATGGCAGAGGAAGAGTTGCTTCCTTCAAGTTAGAAGTTCCGAATCTGCCTCATCGTCATACATGAACATTTGAATTTTTGGAGGCTGAGAATCTTTGGCATTCGATTTTTCAGACTTCCTGCCCAAATTTCAGGTCCAAAGCAGAATTGAGCCACCCCCCCCCCTCCCCTCACCTCTGCCATATCTATCATCCCCATGTTGGAAACGGCGTTTTCTAGAGTCAATACATTTACAACTGTCACCAAGCTTAAAAGGCAGCTTCGCTGCAATGCGGTTCGGATGAGGTGAATCGTCTAAAAATCTGAAAGGGCTCCTTTCAATGGGACGGCTGTATTGGTCTTGGAAAAGTTCAACCGTAGCTCAGGCTAAAGGAAGTTTTGCCGCAATATGAGAATGTAATGAGGTGAAGCATAATAAAAGTTCGAAGGGTTAAGTTTTAGTCGGACAAGGACTCCATTTGTCTTTGGGAAGTTTGAATAGTAAAAATTCCAGTTTGAATCCAATAACAAGCACTATTAATTAATCACTAGAAACTTTTGTGGGCTTTTTGCGACCTTTAAACTGGATTTGAGGATATATATTCTACATGGATCGTGAAAAGAACGCCCGAATCTGCCGCTGTTATTCACGGTCTTTCCATTCCCACCAGGATTTAAATTCGCATTCTGGCCTGCTGTCCAGCCTTTCAAAACCCGAAAAATGTACCGGCCTTTTTTCTTTCCAGCTTGGTCATGCGTGGTGCAGTGCCAGTCGCGACAAGGCCCGCGAGAAGGCTCTTTTTCAGTGGCTGGTCCCCAGTCCCCTGGAGGCCTTCCAGTTGGCCTCGCACCCGTTTGACCGAGATGTGAAGCTGTCGTCGATCTCGTTTGGCACGCTGGTGCAGTTGGGTGTGTTCGTGCAGCACAAGCTGTCCTCGTCGTCCATCATCGACGACCACCGCGACTACTGGATCAACGCGACATTCCGTCATGACCAGCGCGTGCTGCATGTCGATCTGCACCTCAACCACCGCGAGGCCTGTGCAGGGCTGATCGCCGAGTACCGGTTTATCGTCCCATACCTAAACATCACAAAGGTGTGTACACACTCCCAGTGGCATTGCACTGCTACGCATTAGGCCGCAAATTACTCCGGCCTGCTTGTTTTATCTAGATACGATGCTGAAATGCACGGTGAATTAGGTGGAGTAGGATATAAATATACATAATGCATACAAATGATACAAGATATCAGAAACGAGGAAGTGAATTCGGAATAAATTTTTTGCAAGCATCACTGTATCACTTTTCCATGTTGGCAAGTTATCTTGTGTTGTTCTCTTTAAACATGACATGTTGGCTTGGAAAGAAGTGCAGAATAATATAATTACTTTAAGTTTTGAGGTGTGCTTGTTGAAACAGTATCTTATGTGACTGAAATTTAAAGAATTAAGTTTACCAAAACATTGCTTTAAGTATGCATTACATGTGCCTTGCAATCCACATGTAATGCATACCATAAGACAGCTTGAAGCATTGCACAACAAAATGATGCACAGATCACGTTGCTGCATACAGCAAAGTACAGTAAAACCTTGTTAATTCAAAGTCACTGGAACTGTGAGGAACAAATTAAGCGGGTTTTGTGAAGTAACCGAACATACAAAAAGTGCAATGCAAGGAACATAAATTTATTCAAATTAATCAGGGCTGGTCGTTTGTTGCGCCGGCTAGTTTGTGGCTCCAAGGGTTATGTTTTTCAGCACTACCTGGTCACAGCTTTGCTGCAAACAAGGGGGAATCCCGGGTCTAACTGCTGTCAGAAAAAAAAAACAAAAAAAGTGATCAACTAAAATGCGTGCAACCCAGTAGTAGTGACGCCCGGGCAGCATGTCGCTTGCTCCTAGCTGTGTCAGCATGCACGTCATAATGCGACCATTCTCCTATTCTTTCTCGTAAAATGGAGAAGTTACTAACGGACAGTGTGAAGCAATTTATAATGTGTTTTCGCTGGAAAACATCATTGAAACTTTCCACCAGAGTTTTCGAAGTAGGCGTTGCAGGCAAAACCTCTGCCAACTGTGCAAGTGCGCGAATGATTGGAGCAACTGGCACTCGGAGGTTCGCATGCATCGCGGATTTCTCCGGACTGTCCTGGATAAATGGATAAATCGTGACGCGCTGACGTTGCGATCGTTGCGAGAAGCATGCGACATGCTGGCCGCACGTCGCATCTGTATTGCAGTGAAGCACGTTTTGTTTCCACAGGCGCATATTCTAGCTGATCACGAGACAGTAATATTATTTTTTGTGCTGGAAGTAGCAAGGCAGGGGTGCTTGAGCTACCACCCATTAGCATTGCTTAAGTACATTGCCTGGTGGCTCTTGAAGGCCGCCGTTTTATTGAATTTGTGGCGAAATCGGAATCGGGAATTAGCACACTGCACCCAAATTTTTAGAATTGACCGTACTTGTGCAGACCACCGCTTCATATTGTCCGCTCAAACTTGGATTGCAAAATATGACACCGCCGAAATACTTAGAATTGAGTGGGATTTTGAAATAACCACATAAGAATTAACGACCAATTACAGAATGAAAGGTACTATTTGGTTCAAGTTGGCTTTTGCGATGTGCTACCGTAAGAGCATTTCAAGTGCGCATCATAAGTGCATCGCAAAAACCTACCAAATCTGCCAAGTGTACAACAAATAAGCGTGCATGCTACCAGCAAAAAAAGTAAGCTGCTGTCAAGGCAGGTCTTTGCACTCGGCAAGCACCATTACGTTGAGGCACGGCAGCTGTGAGTGTGACACAGGGTTGCACTCAACGCACCTTGGCGTCGAGGTGTGAACCGCAATGGGTGCTCTGGCAATTCTCTCAGTGACGGAGTCGAAGGCCTCTAAACGAGTCGATCCACTGGTCTTGTGCACTTAACTCATCACAGATATCTGCAGAAATGTAAAAACGAAAAGTTTCATGTCTACCATACATGACAAGCCACCACTTGACTGCCTTGAATATCTGCTGGCCACAAGTTGTTCTGAGAACGAGCTACACTCATACTACGCAATGATGCGTAGTAAAATCGGGACCAAGAATTCAGATTTCTGCTTACAAGTTCATTTCTCTAAAACGCAAAACATAATGTTCAATGTTTAAGAGGCCCAATCGCAAGTATTTTTAACAATGCCATGTGAAGACATTGTCATCTCCAGACTACTATTGCCTTGTAATTGCTGAACACTTTCCTCATTGCGTGAGCTAGTGCTTGTTACATAGACAAGCGTTATGGATATGCTTAACTGTGCTTAATTTCAGATGGGAATTTTAAAAAGGAAAATTCATTTGGATGTCCCTACAATAGCTTCCCTAATAGCCCTTTTATGGCATTAATATTGCATTTATCATTAGGATGGTGGTCGTGGCAGTTCTCATTTTTGTTAGGCATACATACATGCATACATGCATACATACATGCATATATGCATACATACACACATGCATACACATATACATGCATACACACATACATGCATACATACATACATACATACATACATACATACATACATACATGCATACATACATACATACATACATACATACACATATACATGCATACATACATACATATATTAAATACGACCGAAAAAGAAAGAAGAGTGATGATTCTGTTCGGCATGGCTTTATAGGCTCTCCGAATCTGCTTTCGGGAATACACTCAAACCTCAATATAACAATCACACCAGCCATGAAAATACTTCATTATATCTGAAAATTCATTAAAAAATTATATCTGTGGCACTGTATCAATGACAGAGCCATTCTTTACTTTCTTATAACCAATAATTCATTATATCTGGGTTCGTTATATCGAGGTTTGAGTTATCCTGATGTTAAAAAGATGCAAGTGTGGCACATATCTTGTTAAGGGGAGATGCGTGTCTTAACACAAGTTTTTTTCAAAATTACATATTTTTCATATTTATTTGCTTTTGTAAGTTTGGTTTTTCTAATTTCACAACAAAAAAAAACGAAAATTGTAATGAAACTGAAAGTAGGTTAACCCTTTGCGGTCCAAAACTCTTACACACTTTCCGCTTCTACCGGTCCAAAACTGTTTCACCAGTTTCTGGCATCAAAAAGAGTAACATGAACTGTGTAAGAAAAACTGACCCGCTATTTTTGGCTTCTGCATTCAGGTGGCAACTCCTTTGGCGATATTTGGGCAGCGTATGATACCACTCACAGGATTCTCTGGGTACCGGCTGGGTTATTATTTCAGGTTTTGCAGAACGAAAATATTTTCCCACTGCCGTCGTCGTCGTCTCCGTCACTCATTTCTGTCGAATCACTGTCATCACTGTCTGTTGGAGGCATGTAATTCTTTCCCTCAATACATCGTCCTCGCTTTCGCAAAAAGCACCATCGTAAATTGCACGCAGTAAAAGCATGACCATGCTTCTCGGCGAACCACGCTTGAGTGGGTACGCTCTAGGCTCCGTACCGAACATTGTGCTGCACCCTAGTGTAAAGACAAGTAAACCTCAACAAAGTAAGCTCCCTCATTCTTCAAGAGAAGGAGCTTCAAATAATCTGCCCAGACTTGCATTTTCAAATAAGGGACCGTGGAAATACTTGGAGTTAAGCAGGATTAAAAAGAAACAGTTCAATTTGAACAGGTTTAACTGTTACCGTAAAAGCTCGTTAACCCGGTTCTCACGGGACCGATGAAAATGTCTGAGTTAACTGAAATCCGGATTGATTGAACCATCAAAACAAAAGAAAAACGTACTCTGTAGAGACGAACCTTTACTTCATGAAAAGCTGCGTCAACTTAGTCGGCCTCGTCATTGGAATTAGTGCTAGAACGATATTATATTATTCAACTCTATGTGGTGGTGGTGGTGGGCACGCTCGCTGTCGGGAGAACTGATGCAGAACTCCAAGAGGACAGGACAGCAAGAGCTTTAGCGGCCTATCACGGTGTGATGTCGCGTCGGCTCATCTTGAATGTCATTATTAGAACAGTGATTACGATCCTCTTCAAGCACTTGCGATAATATGTCATCATTAGTCGGCAAACCAGCAACAGCGACACTATCATCATTGCTCACAAACACAGCCCGAAAACGTAACGACGGTTTCTATGTCAAAGCGCCAACTCGCGCAACAGTCAACTCTTTTGATGTGCCCGAGCTGCAAACGCTATGTGCGAAGTCACTACGTAGTGCAAAGAAACCAGAAGCGTAGGCGCCACGAGCAGCTGGGGTAGCGGTGGCTGCGCAAACTGTCCCATACGGCGTCATGTGCAGTGCATTTCGCAGACACTGGATGCACCGGCGGCCGAAGCGCTCCCGCCAGGTGGTGACTAGCGCCGCCTGGCCACTTTCCCCCTCATTCACTATCTGCTGCTGTTCACACGGTTTCAGTTTCTCCAAAACTTCGGTTCCGCCGTCGGTTACGGAGACGGAGCCGGGACTTTATGCTTCTAGTAACCGGAGTCAGTTACCGAAAACACGAAGCCCCGATAGCCTTCTCTGTAATAACCGAGTTAACTGGTGCACGTCGAAATCCCTTTGTATTAACGAGCATTTGACACCATTGAAATATACAGTTTTGCCGGGACCGCACCATGTGTTCGAGTTAACGAGATTAGGATAAATGAGCTTTTACTGATTTGTATAAGCAGGTTGATGTGGTCATCACCATAGCTGCCGTCACCTGAGGCACTGGGCAGCAACCATGCATCTCGCAGACCTCTGTGATGTAGCGACATTTAGTGAAATGTCGGGGAAAGCCTTGTACATCTACTTCACAGTCGAGAATTTTTTCGGTTGGTCATTAGCGACACTTTTCTACTTGAGAATAGTGTGCTCCATTTTTCTCGATGACTGGTATGCCTATTGCAATAAGCATTCATGACTGTGCATGGTCTTTCTTGTATGTGCTCCGACTGCATGCGATTTCCCCACTTGCGGACTCATGCCTATCTCGGAAGCTGTCATTTCTGTTGCCAGTTAATTTTAGCTGCCCCTTTTTCGGGAGGTCTCGGCACGCTCACTGCACCATTTTTTTTTCCAGGGTGGCAATCCACTAGTGTCCCCGTTAACATCTGCACTGAATAGTGTAGATTATTCAGGGCTTATGGCACCACCTCAGAGGCCTGCACACGTGATGATGCGGCAGGTCCAGACAGATCTCACAATCAACAAGATCAAAGAGCTGGAGAGCAAATCGGCCATGGACCTGGAAATGAGGGACAGCCGGATAGATGAACTCCAAAGGGTGAGTTTATGCAGCACTGTGGGATTTTTCGTTTCTTCGAAACTCAATCGATCAGCTTTTCACATTGCATATAGGTGAACCATCCAGAAAGCACACAGTTCATATGTACTTGACAAAGCTGTTTACAAAAGGAGGTTTTGCCCAACTATGGCATTAAACATTTTCTTACTAATTAAAGTTGGCCCGTAACAAACAGTTTTTACAAACAGTGAGGGCCCAGAGAGGCCTTGTGAGTTTTATCTCAATTTTTGTGATGATGCTTCATTACTGCACCTTTAAAGGACGAAAGTTCCCGCACCGATATATTTTGCTCATTTATACCAAGGAGTCTATAACTGCTCAATCATTTAGTTGTGTTATTCACTTGTTCCAAAAGGAATATTTTCTTTTATGCTTATTGCCCAAAAATAAATGTTTCCACATCGCTAAAAAAAAAAATTGCCATTCTCCAGGATGATGTTGCACACAGTCTTCCCTTCAACTTTGCTCCATTTCACAGGCTACTGCACTACTGGTGTGCTATAAACAATTGCCATGTGTGGACGTCATTTGGTGACTTCTTTACCTTGGCATGAGTTTTGTTACAGCCTACTAATTCCTTTGGAGAAGTACATATTTCTGTTAACCTAGGAAGATTGATTCCGCATTAATGTCAATATGGTATTATGCTGTGAAGTTGCACTGTTGGACTTTTAGTGCTTTCTCTTACTGTTGCACATGAATTCTGCACCAGAAGCATTTTGGGCTTCAAATTGGGCTTGTCCAAACCACAACAAGTAGAGACTCCTTCCTATTCCTCAACTGCACATGAAGACTTGCGGTGTCTTTGGTATGGTCACGTAATTATTGCACCCGTATGCTTTGCAGGGTAGCGAAGAACTGCGGCGGCAAATTCAGGGACAGCAGAAACAAATACAAAAACAAGAGGAGCAACTCCTCAAGTGTATAGATGTTACAAAGCAACTTCTTATAGAAAAGGTGAGCTTTCCCTCTCCTGCTCTCGCTCTTTTTCTTTCTTTTAACTGTTTGATGTAGTCATTGCTTACCTAATTCAGTTCTAATATAGTTCTAATTGCTCATCCACTATATTTTGCTTGAGCATGCTTTGTTCACTTGGCATTCACAATTAATAGTTGTGTTCATGCAGCAACCTTGGCTGTGAGGCTCAACCACTGTGAATGCATAGAACTTTGACATTAGCAAAGTCATGTTTCCGAGAAGTACAGAATGCTGGAACAAACGTAGCAAAAGAAAAATGGTGGCTATGAGGTCATCATAACTTGTTTTGTTAAGACTGCAGCGTGGTGATGTGAGAGAAGTGAGGGGGTCCTCAAAGGGTCCCTTTAGATGGTGTCGGTACCTTCAATATTCGCACTTCATAATTGCTGTAAAATACCTTCCAAGCTATATTTGCTGTTGATAGTGAAGAGCTTCACAAGCAGTGAATGCTAAATGAGTTTACAAAATACAAATATCAGCACAGTGCTTTTCTTGCCAATTTTTGGTAATTGGTTCTGTTGCGAAGTATTAAGGCTGTCGCAATTACAGATACTGCATTGAAGCTCATATTGAGTGCTGCCCTACGCATGTATGAAATTCTTGTTTTCCTGCACATGTAACATTTTAACAGAAGTCATTGTTTGCCTTTGTGACTTGTACAACAAGAGGGAAAAAAATAACCTCTTGTTTCTTTTGCAGTTGGCAATAGAAAAGAAGCAGTCTCGGCAGAAATGCATGCAGAACAGGCTAAGGCTAGGTCAATTTGTGACACAACGGCAAGGGGCGTCGTTTGTTGAAAACTGGGTAGGCGGCTACGCTTTCAACGATCTTTTGAGGTATGTATTGTTTATCTATATTTTACTGAATGTACTGTTAATATTTCTTTTCCAAATTGTTTAACTCGGGCACTGGATTAGAAAATCTAGGATGAATACTTTACCTTCCGAATTGGCTTCTCTGTCGAAGTCGTGCGAGTTAGTGAAATGGCTGGAGAAATTCAGTCTTGAATTAGGTCTTTGACTTAGGGTATGTTTGATGTATGTGAGTCGTCAGACAAACATGAAGATTGTCATGTGTGTCACGCACTTCGGGTGAGGTCCCGCTGATCCAACATCGACGTGTGGCATACTCGCAGGCTTCCACTTTACGCTTCAGGCTGTGACGCCTGAAAGGCCTCGAAGTGGCACATTTCAAATTTATTTGCAGGTTGGTCGACCCGTGCGGGGTTGCACGTGTGGTGATGTGTGGGCCTGACTGACGCACTCGTAGAGCAGACACGGACATTTGATTTAACACAAACAAGTAATAAATTAAAACAAAGGCAATGGCAAGGAGAATATAAAATATAACGGAGAGGAAACAACACTAATATGCGTGATGGAAAGAACAGTTATAACAAAATATGCCCCAAAAACATTACAACTAGTACAAACAAAACACACACACGTGGAATGCTAATAAAGTAACAACATGATGGAAATAAAAGAGATACAAAGAAATAATTACAAAAGCATCATGCTCGCACTTCAGAATTTCTACGTGCGACGCAGCGCACACAACTGCAATAATTGAAAAGCTGGTGAAAATGAAATAAAAGTTGAAAAAAAAATCGCAATAAAATGTTCTATATGGACCAGGCCAGCTCTTGGTACACGTAGGGGAGTTAACGGGCACTGCTGAAGAACTCGCCAGCTTAGTAGACGACAAGGGTGCCTGGTATTGCAGCCGTATCAATACGTTGCGCAGGTCACTCCATGCTCTTCGCCTACGCAAGCCTCGTGACACCGACGACCACACTCCTTGCTGGCTGCACATCAACTGCCATCCCGAAAAAGTCAAAACTTTCTCGGGCGTACGCGTGCTCCCTTACCCTCTGGAGATGATTTCCTTTTCTCCGAACAATGTGT